TTCTTCTGGACAGATGAGTTCAATGTTTGGTTAAAATTTGTATTGGCAGACCAAACAACAAGCTGGCAGACAGTATAACTGAAGGTTGGAATGAGAACAGGCGAGTGTGAAAGTGCATATGTAACTTATGCTAACTTAACCTAAAACTGTCTTAGTCCTGCCCGAAAGGGAGGTTCAGTAATGACTAAACAACAGGTAAGGTGAGGGAAGCGTTTCAAAAGCACATTTGGCAATCAGAGTAATGCGTTAGACATATGAAGGGAGCAAAGAAGAGTTTAAACTTCTCTGTTGATTTGGGTTGTGTTTACCAATCAGGGACTGGCTTTGTTCTGACAGTACAAAGCCAGACAATAGTGCAGTGGAGATAAAGCCTTATAAGTTTAAAATCAAACGTAGCAGGATAATCTGTCTTCCTGCAGCAGCAGAGCATTTCTCTATACTTGGTCCTGGATAGATGGAAGTATTTCCACAAGCAGTTATCTGGATGCAGCTCCTGAAGCAGGTGGTGGCCCTGATCCAACTGGAGGTGAATTTGTTTGACTTTCCATATCACATAAAGTGCTATGACTTGTTTTTAGCCATAGTAAGTTAAAAAATTACTACAGTTACGCCATGATTTGTTCTACATGATATTATTGTGTCAATAATATGATGTAGCACCAGTAAGCGGTTGACACTCCCCCTATTTGATGACCAGGTAAGTGAGCTTGGCAGAATTTCACAGCAGTGTCCGAAAAGGGAGCTGAAATGTTGTGTGACCAATGGCAGGTCAGTTATGCTTGGTGAACATTGGCTATTGCAGTCAAATTCCTATTGGTTCAAACTGGTACATGCATGTTTTGGAAATTTCTACACCAATTTCTCCAATTACGTTAAAGTTTTCTATTCCTTTTATTCTAGATTTACAAATGTCTCTTTGTGGCTGTGTTCAATAACAATTAACCAAAAAGTTTGTTAGTAAAACCTGCTTTGGGGCTTAAAATCTTAGACAAGTTGATGTAGAACAATGGGCCCCAGTGCTTATGAAGCTTTCACTATTACCAAATAGCAAAACAAAGTGGGATTGAACCATGATCAGTGGCCCATTTATTTGGGACAGTAAAAAGAAAAGCTAAAATAATTAGTATTACCTTGTTGATGCCAAGTGAGATTCAAAAACATTAATTAAATACCCCAAAACCATAGATATCAGGCCTGCAGGTATATTTTGCCCACAAGATAATTACAAACTAACTAACTCCCTAAATTATAGAGCTGCTGGTAGAGACACATGCACAATTAATATTATCAATCTTTCAAAGCTCTACTGGTGCGTTGTCACTTTGTTCAGGACCCAGAAGCCCCCGTTGACTGCTAGTGATGATACTGATGCAGACAACTGAGACTACAAAAACAAAATAAAGCAGGAAATTAATTATTTTGTTTTTCATGTATTTTCTTGGAGCTGCAGGCAGTCCTGAGTCTGAATTCTGAGCTGGAGATATTCTGCATGGAGTTTACATGTTCTCCTTTTGCTTGTGATTTTTTTTCTCTCCAGGTATTCCGGCTTCCTCCAAATTATTTCAATCAGGTCAGTTGGTGTCTCTTAATTTTCCTTAGATAATTGGGAATCTGTGTACATCCCTGTGTCTTTGTGTTGCTCAGTGAGGAACTGTTGACCCGTCCTGGGTGTACCCAAAGTTAAGGCTCCAGGTATGGATAGATTCCTAAGAAAAACCTTACAGGATGTATGACATCTGGAGAATTTCCATGAGCATAACTGTAAACTACACCAGAACATGATATGTGAACACTTACCAGAAAGACAATTTAACCTTTTTCATTTTATGGCCATGAACATTAATGTTCTGATGGATTGACACGAAAGAAGTGTCCTGACAGAAATATCCTGACTAGTTTCTGCTCCTGGACTTCTGAGTCTTGCCTGCCCCCGTTCTGATCTGTTTTGCCTGACCTTTCTTCGGAATGCTTTTTGAATTCTGCCTGCTAATGACTTCGGATGTGTCCCCTGACCCTTAGGTACGTCTTTGGATCTCTGATCCTCTGGCCTGGACATCTGCTTCTGAATCGTCACCGACTTTTGATTTCCCCTGCAGAAACTTCTCCTCTTCTTCGTCTGCTGGCTTCTGCTCATCATCCTGCTTCAACTCCTGGAACTCTCTGTGTGGCTCCCGCCGCATGATGTGGAGAAATCATCCGGCTAGATTCCACTGCTTCCTCTGGGATCAGACTGAACTTAAACCAGCTTAATGACTCACATGCTCGCGATCTTTCCCCGTCAGAGTTTCGTGGTCACTAACCTGAGTTTCTACCTCTACAGGGATTCCACTCACGCTGTCCCTGCTGACGAGATAATTAAGCAGTAAGTAAACGCTTTTTTGAAATGACTTCCGTTCTGTCTGCCTAAATTCTGGGTTCTACATTCTGGAGACTGACATCAACAAGTTTATAACCACCTAAATAATTTTAATTCAGCTGTGCTGCATAGTGGAACACCATTGCCTTTTTTACCCAAAAATTACCAATGCAGTAGGAAGGTGACAATTTGATGACAGAAAATCGAAGGGCATTACACAGCATATTTAAAACACGATAGGAAAAAGCATAACACCAATAAGCACAGTAGATTGGGAGGGCTTTGGTGAATTAATGCACTTAACAAAGACAAGTTAAACAATTCTTCGAGGATAACCATTAGAACCCATTTAGAAACATGGCTGGTGATGCAAATGTCTCTCCCAACAATGATTATTGCATCACACTGTTTTACTAAAACAAAAAGGCAACTTAAAGGGATAGTTCGGGATTTTTGACATGAATCTGTATGGCATCCCCATCACCAGTGTCATGCAATCACACTGACTTACCCCTGGCAGCATCCTGTGAGCAGAGTTCTCGTCCAGCTTTGGTCAAGCCGAAAGTAGTCCGGCAGGTTTGCTAGACCCAGCGAAATAAAACTTTTCTCTTCCCAAAACATTATGTGTTCAAAAGAGTGATATTTTTGCATCCCAAAAACATTGTAGTGGAAAAAGTCACACGTCGTTATCACTTGGTCCTATTTTCTCTCTGTTCGTATCAGTGCACGCCGTCATTCTGACAGCGAGCTCAACTTTGAGGAGGGCAGGGAAGTCGCTGTTGTTTGTGATGCAGACAGCAGCCTCTGCAACTCCGACATCCTCATCAATGGAAAGGTTCTGTATCTCGGGCATTACTAAATCCCACTCGTGGCAACAGTAGCATCCACCTCTGTCTGCATTAATTCGCACTTGAAACAAGTGCACCATGATTTGTCGGCCACCCTGGATATCGCAGCTCCAGCTGTGGCTCCTGCGGCTCCGGCTTCAGCTTCCATCACTTCTCTGTCCACCCTCTCTCTTTCTGCCCGATCTAACTCCATTTGTCAAAGTTCATCGTCAGTGTACTCGGGTTCATAAAGATATCCCTTTGGCTCTAAGTGGAAGTCGATGTTTTCCTCGTCGCTCTCGTAGTCAGACATCTTCCCCAGTAGTAAACAATCGCGAATCAAACAGGTAGGCCCTTAACCTGACAACAGCCAGATGCATGCCTCGCTCCGCCCAGCTAGGAGCTAGGCGGAGCGAGACATGCATCTGGCTGTTGTCAGGTTAGTAGGCCCTAGCTGTCAGTTCATGGTGTCGCGCGCACTGATACGAACAGAGAGAAAATAGGACCAAGTGATAACGACGTGTGACTTTTTCCACTACAATGTTTTTGGGATGCAAAAATATCACTCTTTTGAACACATAATGTTTTGGGAAGAGAAACGTTTTATTTCGCTGGGTCTAGCAAACCTGCCGGACTACTTTCGGCTTGACCAAAGCTGGACGAGAACTCTGCTCACAGGATGCTGCCAGGGGTAAGTCAGTGTGATTGCATGACACTGGTGATCGGGATGCCATACAGATTAATGTCAAAAATCCCGAACTATCCCTTTAAGTCTAACAGTTAGTCAGAGTGACGTACCTGTCTTTAAACGATAGTTTTACATCTCAGTTCATGGGAGAATATATGTGTTTCACATCTTTTATTTTATCCTTGTAAATTCTTTATCTAACAGACTAAAATGTTATAATTTTGGCGTATTTTATTGATGTTATTGTTTAAAATTGTGTCAGAAAAGCTAAATTTTCCATCTATTCAGTCAGTATTTGATCCAGCCTTAGCAACATTGCTATAAAGGAAATACAGATTTTTCGTTTTTTTATTTTAGCAAATTCTAAAAAAACAAAAAAACAAAAAAAATGAGTGTTTATGGTTTGGAAAGGATCTCTTGATACAAATGAAGACTGTTTTTTTGTAAAGAAAATGGAAATTTATCAATGCATTGTTAAGATAAGATCAACTTAAGATTAACTCATTAATCGATAACTTGCATCCCTAGATAGTGATCATGGTGTACCACCCAAAAAAACGTTTACCAGGCCTAAAGATGTAGTCTTTGAAGGCTGATGTCCTGACTTACGTACTTATAACATAGTTAGGGTGAATACTCGATTCTGGCTGGCTGAAGGATGTCCTTTAAAAAGTGTTATAGAACATCTATGAAAAAGTTTCGGTCAATTAGCCAGATTGTTCTAAATCATTGTTCAAATTAATTAATTAATCTCTGAAATTAGCAGTTGTATAACTGCGGGCCAGGGCTGGTTACCTTGCCAACAAGTCACAACAAGAGAGATAAAGTAGTCCATTCAGCCACTTCTTGTACAAAATGTACATTCCTAGCAGTAAAAAAGATAATGCCCTTTGAAGTGTCCATTATCAGAATTGAAAGGACTTTTTGTACATTAATCTGAACCTTAACCATTTGTAGTTCCAAACCCATCATAGGAACTTATGGAGTCAGGTCTGTCTTATTCCCTAGCATCAGTATAACCAGTCTAGGTCTTTAAAAGTGAACACAAGCCTTTTTTGGATTGAGGAGTTGCCCTAAGATGATCATTCCAGACTGTGGTGTTCTTCAGTAAAGAATCCTCCAACAGAACTTCGAAACAGGTAAAATCCAATCTTTATTTCAGACCTAACAAAGTCAGCTTTTATTTTACATAAAACCAAAATGGTTCGGAGATGAAACCTGAACTTTCCTAACAAAATGCTCTTCCTTTTGTTTCAGGTCCTGCTGGAAAGTGGTAACGTCACACTTCCCAGTCAGGAGGTATATGCTGTAAATCAAACCCGACCTTCTATGTTCGTTCAGTTTAATGAGTCTGTGGAGGTAAATTGGTGTCAGCAGCAGCTGCGGAAACATTTCTTGAAGAACTTCTTGAACTCTGTGTTGAAAATGGTGTAGATGATTGGATTGAGGGCGCTGTTGACATAACCCAGCCAGGTGAAGGTGCTCGTCAGCGCGTTGGGAATGTTGCATTTCAGGCAAAGAGCTTTCAACGTGTGCACCACGAAGAATGGCGTCCAACACAACAAGAAGCAGCCTGTAAGAGGGAGAGGAGGGGGAAAGTCAGAGGTAACATCATGTAACATCAAAAAAATCTGGATGTAGGAAATCTGATCAATTATTTAGAATATTAAAAAAAACATCCGAACAATTCTGTACATTGTATCTGTTTTAAAAATGAGTTGTTTAATATTCCCAATAAGTATTTAGGATGCTGAATATATCTGCAAATAAATGTCAAACATTCAAGTTTAAAGGCTGAAATGATGTATATTATTTGGGAAAGTGCTCCAGTTAAATGGGTCTTTGACATCAAATTGATGCAGTACACCATAAGGTTCTTCTGATCCTCTGGCCCATCATATCCCTGCTCTCACAGGAATTTATTCACACAGGTGTGTTAAAACAATGCCAAGATGGAAAGACATCAGCAATGATCCTGATTCTAAAAAAAATTTAATAGAAAAGACGAGGCCAAAACAGAGATGCTAAACGTCTCATTTTACAAAGAGAATCAAACATCAGAAAACACTTTAAGTTCAAGCATGATAAGGGAGGGGTGAGGATGTGGGATTGATTTTAGTGGACCACAAACTCCTCTGTAGAAAAAAGCTTCAAAATCACATTGGAGTTCAATCTGTTAAAAAAGTCAAGTCAAGTCAAAAAAAAAAAGCGGTTACAATGACCTAATCCAAGTCCACACCTTAGGTCTAAACCTTAAGAGAGTGGTGCAGAAACAAATGTCCATAAACCTCAAAAAATGACAATACTGGAAAGATCTCCTCCACATTAAAAGTCAGACAGAAAACAATTGCTAAGGGGTACTGCTACTAAAGAAGGTTGCACACTAAACTACCTGCTGGTTTGTTATGTCTGAAACTGCTTTTCATTTTCCATCAGTTCATCAGGCCCTGAATAATTTGGAACATCATTTGGTTTCATGTTTTAGTTTTCCTTTGATTATTTATGCTCTGTTGGCATTTGCCTCTGTTTGGCTGCACCTGTTCAACTGCATGTTTTAGTCATTTATAGTTCTGAAAAGTTTTATGGTCTTACCTTGGTTTAGACTGGTTTGCACTCAAATAACGTTTTTAAATGTAAAAGGAAATTGTACTATTCTCAGTGTGATAATTGAGAAACAAAATGGACTAATTTCAAATCAGCCGATAAGTGGATCTAAGGCTGTTTCCTCAGTCTGAGTTTAACATCATGTGTTGTGGGATAATTGGATTGGAAGCTTTAAGCTGTAGCAGCACTGCATGAAGAGCTATGGTTGGTCAGGAGCGCCGCTTTTATCCTGGGACTCAGAATGACCCGGAGGAAGGTCAACCTCCTTGCTGATTCTAAAGCTTTAACACTAAGAGCTCTGAACCGATTCACAAACCAGATGTAAATATTTACTGTAGCTTGATAAGAGGAAGTTCACTATGGCCCATATGGCTTGCTATCTGGGGCATTACCACAACACTGAAGCTTAGTTTGCACTTAATTTAAGGGCCAGATTTACGCAAAAAGGGTCCGGACAAAGTCTGACCATTTTAGCATTGCACTTTTGACCAAGTTCCGGATATAAAATGGTAAGAACACGCAACAAAAAACACAACCAAAACTAAAGATCACTGGATACCTTTTTTCCATTTGTATAAAAAAAGCTTTTTAACCAAACCCTAACTCAGAACTACTACTAGAAACACTTTAATTATCAAGACTTCATCTTTTTAGCTACTTAAAGGTTACAGTGTCTGCACCAGTTGAGGAAAAGTTGGGCTGTATGAAATACATGAAAATTTCAGTTGTATGCCTTTTGATTGTCCAGGTTAAAACTAACAAGTCCAGAATGGGAACCCAGACATCTCTCAATCCAGCAACATTCTGACGCTCATTTGGATGCTTCAAAGGCTTTTTCAGACCAGAAACAATATACAGTCCTTCTGGGGCATTCAGGGTCTATCCTTGGGTCTGTTCTGAGTGATAAGTGCATGAAAAACCTAAAATCAAAGTTACCCAGAAGGCAACCACAGTCAAGAAGACTATGTTTTAGGAGGCCTCAGCTTCCACCACAAATTGGCCTTAAAGGAGTGGTCATACCTCCAAAAGCTAGATGAATGGATGAACTTACATTGGAACCTGGTGATCGTGCTTGTGTATCATGGTAAAGGACTGGGCTAACATGGAGAAGAAACAGATTAAACTGTCCACACCGGGTTGGTTATTTGATTATTTATTTACTCACCCACTACAACAGGTAGGACCTTCATAGCTTTCCTCTCCCTGCTGTTGATCTTTGCCCTCTTCTTGACATTTTGCTGCTGGAACCTCACTGTTGGCAAAGAGTTTTCCCTGTACTGTCGAGGGTAAGGAATCTCCTGCTGGATGTAGTCACCCGAGTCGTCCATCCGAGACTGAACTAGGTCCCTCTCGATGATCCTGGGCAAGGGCATGGGCAGGGCCCCAGGAATGGTCCCTGTCATTGTGGGAAGGGCCATGGTGGTCTGCTGCAGCTTCCTGCAAGCCTCAATGCTGCAGCGTAGTTTGGCCTTACGGGCCTCCTCCCACCGCTTCAGGGATTGGAAAACCCCAAAATATAACAAGACCATGATGGGGCAGGGGATAAAGAAAGAGCAGACGGAGGAGTAGATCACATAGTTGTTATCCTCCAGTTTACACTCTCTGGGGTCACGGTTTGGCACGTTGTTGATACCGAAGATGACCGGAGAGGCGACTGCTAAGGCCAGGAGCCAGGTGGCAGAGAGCAGGATGAGCTGGCGGTAGTCCACATGTTTGCGGTTGTAATTTAGCGGTATGGACACTGCAATGAACCTACAAATAAACAGAAGATGTATCAACCCCCCTTAAAGTTGAATTATCTTCAGGTTCTTGATTGTGTACCGAAAACTGCCATTCTTGTATCAAAATTGTACAACAGCATCATTCACCTAAAAACATTTCTTGCTAAATACAAACAAAGATAAGCTGGTTTGAGTTGGGTTTTTTTTCTTCCAAAAGTTAGATTATAATTTTGGATGTTAAAAAATAAAAGCTTTCTTATTTCAAGGAGAAAATGTTTGCAAGGTAAAGTAGATTAGGCTGTGTTAACATTTTAAAGCTTACACATCAGAAGGAATTCATTTCCACGGTAACTTAGATTTACAGGGCACCAGTTTTAGAGTCGAGGTGAATCTTACAAAAGAAAAGTTACACTTCTGAGGCATTTTGGTGGTGGAACCATGCTCTGGGATGATTCAGATACATTCATGAGTCATTTTTTTCAGTTTCATAGCTCTTAATAACTGACCTCATCAACTCTGTGACATCTAGGTTGCCTGTAAAATCTGCATCGGTGGTTCCAAATATGTACTGTTTGTACTTTAGTTTTAATTTGTTGCATGAACGTTTACTAGTTGTCGTTAAATATTTCACAATTTGTCAACATTTAACTTTTTATCTTACAACTTTTTTTCTATCCAAAAATGGCTCAAATCTGATTTATAGTAATTTGTACATTTATAAAAATGAAAATTCATGTCATGATTCTGCTCTTTGTGGACTTTTCTTTATGTTTCTTTTTGAGTTTACAGTTACACTTTGATTTATGTAATTTTGTGTTTTCTTGGTCAATGGTTTCTTTAACATTTTGTGTCATTCTAGTTGTTTTCTAGTTATATTTAGGGAGTGCTGTATTTTTTTTAGTTGCTCTCTGTGGCCCCTTTGTGCCAGTCTCCTTTCCCCTAGCTTCCTTCTAGTGCTTCTATCCACACCTGGGGTCAGTTTCACAAAGCAGGTTTACTGAAAACTACGTTTTCTAAACTTGGAAACAGGGAAACTCTGACTTTTCCGGTTCACAAAGAGAGTTTCTTCAACCTCTGTTGCAGTCACTGTAGAAACATTCTCCCCACACCCACAGCTAACCTGGTCGGTAGCAGGTTTTCTTCAGTAAACTTGGAGTGTCCTCTGTCTCCTTTCTATTTACAGCCAATCACGCTGTTTTATTTCCTGATTTAGTCAGATTTTTGTCATAGTTTTGTGCATTAAAAAATATATACCGGTACCGGTATTCACTAGGTCCGTTAGACACATAAGGTTTTAATAACAAACATTGCATCTCAGTTTGATGAGGATCTTATTAAAGAATGATCTGCAGTTTTTCACATAGAATTGAAAAGTTATAGGGAGAGGATTATATAAGTCATTCGACAGGACATGCGATTAGTTGTTTTTGGTTTGTTTAATATGAACAAGATGCAGGTCATTTTTTTTCTATTTAGTTATATTTACAGTACATTAAGAACCACTGAAATTAATATCAGATCACACATAAATAGATTAATTAATTCCACGGGCGAAAATTAATTATTTTAGGGTTAGGATTAGGACTCACTTGATAATAACCACCTAATGAGCCAACTGGCACAATCTGAAGCCATTCTATGAGACTGATAGCTGCTAATAAAGGCCATTTATTGGGATGATAATGTCCAAAGCCTGGCTGCAAACAGCCACTTTAGTGTGTAAAAGAAAACCGGATCAACATAAGGAGGGACGCATGGGATTATCCACAGGTTCTATATATAAGAACATTTTTAGACTTAATTTTCGCCTTCTGCCAGATGATTTCACCTAAATAAATAGTTTGATCTATCATTCAAGAAATAATGCCATCATATTTTCATGATAACAACACCTATGGCACGTCATTTTGATATGTACTAGATTTACTGAATATGTATTCCTGACACCTGAAAAAAAAACTTTTTCTTTGTCTAAGTGACCGTTTCAAACAAAATGACACTCTCCATATCTAGAATGAACATTCTGGATGCATAAATTAATTTCAGATCTCCATATTCCTAATATTACTGGTCAGCATTTGTATTATTTTAAGAATGAAAAAATGTTATATAAGTGTATTTATGATATCATGAAATATCATGAATACATTTTTAAGTCAAGGGGATAAATGCTGGAACAGCCAATTCAAATGTGTAAACATTTCTAGATACATAAAAGTTAATTCTTACTAGTATAATTTTGTTTTTTTACTTTCTAAAATTCAGTTTCTGCTACAAAAAAAGTAATTTAGAAAACATATTATTACAGTTAGGTCTAGGGGTGTGATTTTGATAAAGAAAAATCATATTTTAATGATCTACAAATGGAACAACAGAGAGGAGTGCTTTAAATAAATGCCACCATCCTCTCCTTTGTAGCTGTAGCGCTGTTGCTCTGTCTTTAAAACACGCTCTCCTTTTTTATTTTATTTTTTTGCAGTTCTGCATTAAAATCTCTAGTTCCAGTGGGGTGCACAAAGAGTGCGAACACAAAGAGTTAACGACTTTTGGCTGCATCAATTTAGAGTTGCAAATTTGAATCTGAATTTGTAAAATCTGCTTTGTGAAACGGACTCCTGCTCCCTATCAGCTGATTAGCCCATTTTTTGTTATATCTTTGCTATATACACCTCCTGTGCAGGTCTCATAGCTGGATTCTCTTTACTTGCATCATTTTATTCCCTATGTTAGTTTCCCTGAGCGTCTCCTAGTTTTTGATTCCTGAGTTCCTTGACTGTTGTTTCTGGATTATTTGTTTCTGTATTATTAATATCTTCATTAAATCGGCAAGAAATCATATCTGCCTCTCCTTCTCTGCATCTGGGTCTTCAACTAACATCCACCAAATCTGACAACTTACCCATCCGGAAAACAAATAGGAATTCTCTTTTGACATTGTAATGAGAAAATTAGCACCTGTTTATCACTGTCTTCTTATTTAATAATCCTTTATCATATATTGCAGAAAGAATGTTTTGAAGGACTCTCTGCTCCTCACTTTGACCTGGACAGTTTGCATGTTGGGAAACCATTTTCATTCAAATCCACACTAAACATTTCTCCTCTCAGTTCTAAATTAAAAGATATACTGATATTATAAACTGATGCGAAAAAAATGTAGTAAATTAAAAAGTAAACTCCTGAATTAATGATAATGGAGATTCTTTAATTTGATATTTCCAGCTGGGATAGTCCTGTACCCTTGTCGCTAGCCATGCAGTGAGAGAATGTGAGAAACAATTTTCTACAGCTAACATAAGACACATTGTTATTGTAGCTCACATTCATTCTTCCTTTCACTTTTCAATATATGAGAAAAAAGTTGTTACTAAAACTTGAGTTTCAGACCATAAGTTCCTTTTGAGTTGCTTATTTTTGAAAATTTTAGTTACCATTTCTAGGACGTCTCACAACAATAATATCCATAGCTGTATATTGGTTATTTATTCTACAGGTGCACAGTATTTATACTGTTAAAACACTTTGCAGTACAGTATTTTATTCACCCACTGGCTGGTTTGTCCTGAGGCATTCTGAATGCCCCTCCTGCTCTGGATGAACATTATATTCCTGGCCAATATTGGCTAAGTTTTTAGAGCTGGCTGCTTTTAAAACATTATTTTTTTCCAAGCAAAACTTTTGAATTATCTCAGTGTTTGGGTCCCTCTGAATCAAAATAAGTTAACTTTATTCTGTTCTTAGAGCTCTGCACTGTATATGAAGGTGGGCTTAAAAGTATTTCGTAGGTAACTGATAGATAGATAAATAAATATAAACATGAGAGAAAAAGTGGCCAAAATCTAAAGAAGCATTTTGAGATATCCTCAAAATGCCTTTAGAATAACAGATCTGTAGCATTTTAATGGATTACATACCGGTCCACGCTGATGGCACAGAGGTTGAAGATCGATGCAGTGCACAACATCACATCCATGGTCATCAGACCATCGCATATTGTCATGTTTAAGGTCCAAACTCCGCCCTGGAACTGCCCCATAGCACACACATGCATACATGGACAAAAGAACTCATTAGCTGTGTAATCCTCCTATCATGCACAAATTTTACCCTGGCTACACAACAGGTCTGCCCATTTCCTCCTCCACCCGGTGTGCAGGGGAATGCAGCAGGCCACCGTGTCCACTCTGGCATTTCTAATCCGGTGACTGCATGTGGACAAACTACCAGTGTGACACGCCGTAGATTACCTCGCTGCGAGGTAACAAGATCACAAACAGGGCTCATTAAGGGGGACTTACAGGGAAGCCTCAGCAGGACAGCTCTTAGATTTCCAGACTGGGAAGGAAACAGGTGGCTTTTAGGATTCAAATAACGGGTTAGATTCCACCTTTTAAACTTTTTATTACCTGGATAAACAGTAAAAATGAATAATAGCTACTGTTAATCCCAGTGTTCCTCTGTTGATAATTAATCTTAGTGAGGAGGTTTGAGTCACAGCTAAATCCTAATTACAATCTCTGTCAGGAGTTCTTCAGTATTAGACCACTGAACAGTTTGTTTTCCAGCTGGTGGCAGATATTTTATATCATATTTGTATTCATTTTAGTCCAGATTTATTTCCAGGATAATTTTCCAAAAATGCGTTGATGGCTTTTTCACCCTGGAAATAGAGCACTCTGGCTGAGCCTTTTTGAATATTCCTGCCTTATTTAGTAATTTGCATCCATTTATACATATCAGATCATTTCCCAACAGGTCTGGGAGAACTTTTATGTTTCTTTTATAAGAACATGTTTTATTGTACCTTCAGAAATTGGATCACCCTGATGTACATATACACAAAAGCCATTAGCTGCAGAGGTTGTTTTTGTAGATCCTGTTTTAATCGATCATTGTAAATTGCCAGGCTATATATCAGTTCTGTTCTCTTCTTTATTTCCCCTCCCCCCAAAAATTGTCCAGCTTAAATGTTTTTATTGGATACTTATTTTAATTTGGTCAACATTGTATCTTTTCTTGTCAGTTTGGATGTTTTTCTCTTTGAAGTTTTGGGTATTGTGTCTTTATAAAAGCAAATAATGAGTCTAAAAGGTTTGTGTGTCTAATTCCCCACATTTTTGTCACTCAAATAATGGCCCAAAACTCCGGTCTCAAAGGTTTTTCTGAGCCAAATCATTGAAATGCATTACCAACCTTCTGCAGCATCCGAGTAAACGCTAAGGAGGTTATTCAAATGTCTGGATCAGTTGTGCCGGAGCAGGAGGACATAAAGTTAATTGAAAAAAAAGTATTCATACTCAAATTAATTCAATTCATGTTAATTCAGTAAATGTCATCGCCTAAGGCACTTCACAATGTGGCAAATTCGGCTTATTATTCAAATTGGTTACAGAGTCTTTTTTTAGAAACCCAGCAGATTACATGCAGTCACTGACTCCATAGGGACAGTGGACTGTTGCTTACATTGTGTTGTTGACTTTGCACAAATCCCTGATACCAAGCATGCATGTAGTGACAGCGGAAAGGATTACAGATACAAACTTTTTTGTTTTTACTGAGATTTTATGCAACATTCTAGCACAAAGTATTGCATAGAATGAAAGTCGTAGCTAGAAGGTAAAACATATGATTGTATTAGTTTTTACAATTAAAAAAGGAAAATGTGGCAGACATTGGTTTTCAGCACCATTAATCTGATAACCCTAAATTAAATCCAGAGCAAAAGTTAGGAAAACAGTCCAAATATTTGTAATGTAATGCCAGCATGAATGCAGGGATTGGGATTGTTGGAGATAAAGAAAACCTGTTGCAGAAAACTTGGCCTGGTTGAAGGACAACATATATGCATCATTGCTGTTTAATGCATGATCTGCTACAAACCTCTAAGGAATTTGGACTGAGATAAATCTACTGAAGCGTGGAAACATTTAAGGACCATTATGGTTACATATCAGGTAACAGACTGAGTGTGCGCAAACACTTTAGTTGTTCTTTTATCAGTAAACATATATATAAAAAAAGCATCATTGTTTCTACTTTTCATATTTATGCATTACATTTTATGTGACTACTGCATAAAATCGAAATCAAGCCCCGTGCCCCTCGGTGACCATCCTCTTACCTCTGCGTAAACAAAGAGCGGCAGAACCAGCACCGCCAGCAGTAAATCCGCAAAAGCCAGACTCACTATAAAGTAATTCGTTGTAGTTTTTAAAGCCTTCTCCAAATAAACACTGAGGCACACCAACACATTTCCAGCAGTAACAGTGATGATCAGCAAAATCCCGAAAATGAGCGCTGGGAAGTTGTAGTGAGCGATCTGAGGCGCAGGTAGCGACTCGTTGATCGGATCAGTGAAGTTGTCCGACATGGTCTCTTTTGGTCGCAGACAAAGGAGGTCCTAATCCCACCGGGAAAAGGTTTCTCCGGTTGGGTTTTCATCTATGAAGCAGAAATCAAGCAGCTAAAAACAAGCGGTCCAGATTCAGGCGCGCAGTTCTCCTAGAGCGCAACACCATCCGTGCGCAAAAACCTCCCAGTGACAGACTTCATCCGATTTTACGCACCCAAGATTCTAACTTCTTCCACATTTCTCCTACAATTGTTCCACACAGCGTCCTACAGCAGAGCGAGGATCCCAGTCGTTTCCCAACCTGCTCAGAAACAATTTAGAGCAGTGAACGAATCAGAAGCAAAGAGCAAATCCGTGCGCAAATCTACTTAGTGCGGCTCTGCTGGGTGTGTGTGAACAATCTGTGCAGGGTGACGAATCGGCTTCAGAGCAGCTAAATAACGTACAAATAAAATACTTTAATCACCTACTGAAAACGTTATTAGTAAATTAAAGGCATTTTGGGAATATAAAGACAAGAACTGGGAATAATCTTTATTAACCCAGTTACATCAACTAGTTCATTCTGTATCGAGGATCCACATGGACTCAACATCTATTGTGCAGAGGAGAGATTCCGATTTGCAAGTCCTAATATACAGACCTTGAATACCTTAGATATTGAAAGGAAAATATAACATCCTACCTCAAATGCACAGAATAATTCCCAAGAAAACTCAATGAAGCAAATTTTACTGTAAAAAGAGAAAAAATAGAGAACTCCAAATGTCTCCAAATCAAGGGCGTAGGTTTGATTTGAACTTTGGTAGGGACACTATTGGTCTGGTGTCATTGGTGCTATGCAATATGCATGCCTTTTTTATGCTCGATGTGAGCATCCGTGCTGATAAGAGCAATTCATTGTTAAAAGAGAAAAGCATAATTTTGCTACATTAATAAAAATGTTATACACTCATTAGATGCTGTTTATCAATGTTTGAAGTATCACCGGCTCTGATGAATGTGGAATTAGGACTGTTTTCCACTTTGAAAATGGTTTCATTTGAACCACTAAGACAGAAGGTAAATACAGTATTTTCTTTTGAAGATATAGAATTATGCAGAGGTAAACCCCACTGTTATATTTTTACCTACTATGCTCTCTTTATATCAAGCAAAATAATACATTCATTAAAATATTAACTTCACTATAAAAGTTGAACATCTGGGCTGTAGTTACCCTGTGTCGCCCAATTCATGTATTTTATCTGGGGCTGAAAAAATGAATTATATTAATTGATTATTTCAATAATTGTCAACTAATTTAGTAATTGATTCATCATTAACTGAAGAATAGAGACTATAAAACATAATCTAAATGTAAAATGTGCCTTTCCCCGACAGAGCAACCTACTTAAATCAGTAATTATACCAAAATTGTAAAAATACTATATATATATATATATATATATATATATATATATATATATATATATATATATATATATATATATATATATATATATATATATATATATATATATATATATATATATATATATATATATATATATATATATAAAATATTTTAAAAAATGTTTTTGTCTGTCAATATTCTCCATCCAGAGCTCCTCATGAGGAAATATTTTAGTATCACCTGGTTTATTTAGACATCACCTGAAGCACTGAAGGGCAGCTGCTTCACCTACAAGCTGCCCCTGCATCATTATTACTGGATATCTGTGTTTCCTATAATCATATAATGTATAAGTGCATTTTTAATAGTAAAGGATTAAATGTAACACAACCTTTTATCATTGTCCTATATTGCTTACTGTCTGACTGTTTAAATAGCTCCTCATGTCTATTTTCTTTTTCAGTGGCATCATCTACAAACACAACACTAAGAATGAGCCTAAGTTTATTCAAATATAAAATCACTTTTAACAATTATAAAAGACAATGTAACACTATCTTATCTGTAATTTAATAATATCAAAAATAAACAGCCATATTCAAGCATTTTTACCAGACATTAATGTTTGTACTAATTTACTTATAGACTGTGTGGAAATCTATGTAAGATAAAATGAATGTTGATATTCTTCATCTGTTTGTTCTTGTCTTTATCCTATTTCTAGAAGTATAAATAGTCAATTAAATTACTATTATTATGTGGAACCCTAATTATCCTTTTTAAACGATAAACAGCAGGTGTTTAGCCACCATTTCTTGTTGTTATACTCTATAAGAGAAATAACACCTGCTAATAATTCTACCTGAACTTCCTCAAAGAGTCATCAAAAAATGAAAACAGTAATAGCACCTAAATATCGGTAAAAAGGAAACCCTCACATTTTCTTTTTTAGTTGGCTGTGGCTAAGAATCAGAAATGTTGATGGCTTACAGCCTTTATTTGCCCAATTTTCCAGCAGTCTTCAGAACTCCTGGCTGACTCAGAATATTTCGTTTTATAAAAGAAAAAAAAAGGTTTTTGTTTTTTAGTGTACATGATATTAATTTTTTTTTATTGGGACTTGTTTTGTAGCCTAATAATAATTGGAGTAACCGCAGCATTCTAGTCTGAATACATTTTCAATGTTGTGCTCCAAGCACACGCGGACTAGAAAACAGCCAATCAGAGAGAGAGAAGGCGGAACCTAAGGCAGAACAACCAATGAGAGTGGAGTTAAACAGCGCAGTACAGTACCATGCGCTGCTTTGTGAAAGGGACAGGAGAGACCAGGCAGAGGAGCTGCGAGAGGAAAAGAAGCCACTGCTGCAACAACTACTGCTGTAAATTATAAACACGTTGCTCACATCCAATTATTGGTCGGGACAATTAGGTCGGTTCAAAATTTTGGTAGGGACATGTCTCCAAATGTCTAGACAACAAACTTTACTGTTTAACTTTTTAAGTTTATGACTTAAACTTAATCATTTAACTTTCGCTTTTACCATATCCAGATTTTCCCCCCCCCAATTTATGTAAAAGTAGTGATGAATTAGAAAAGATAATGACTTAAATACAAATATTAACGTTTAAAGGTAGATGTCTCTGCTCCATCACACTGTCTTTACACCAAAAGCAATTTTTTAATACAATAAAGGGAGAAGGAGGTTATTTTACAAGCAGCATAATGTGCAGTCAGTCATAACATGACAAAAGGAATTAATCATATTATTATTATTATTATTATTTTGTAAAACCAAATTAACTCTTGTCAATTGAGTTTGATAGGAAGTTGTCTTAAATGTATATTTGATTCATTCTACAGACAGTGTTCAAGTTATTTCAATTTTCACATACCCAGAAATTCTGGGCGAGGAGGAGGTGTAGCAAGAATCTTTCAGTCTGACTCACTGATTACTCCAAAGGCAGTTAATAATTACAACTTTTAAAATAAGATCATTAGCACTCCTCCAAATATGATTGGTTTATCTCTGGGAGGTGAGGCAGCAACTGAGGTACCCATAGAATCTGAACCGTGTTTAGACTGCTTTGGTCCAGTTGAACTTTTAGAGTCAGCAAAACTATTGTCTTCATCTAAGCCTTAAACTTGTATATTAGACCCAGTTCCAACCAGGTTATTTAAAAAGTATTCCCTTTGATCTCCAGATTGGCTCGATATAAATTTGAGGTGGATGTTTCTATCTTAAGCCTGCACTTTCAAGAGGCTCTTTAGCTGGAAGGCCATTATCTCCCTTTGATCACAGGATCCCATAGGGAAAGATACCGAACGACTAGGGGGTTTGGGCAACACACTGGGTGAGGGGGATCACTGAACTTAGGAGCCCCTGCATAACTCGGGCTACTGTACCCTGAGTTGCTGGAAGTGTATTAAGATGAGACTCATCTTAACTAATACAATTTATCAATGAGAATTTCCTCTAATTTGGGAAGCCGAGTACTTCATTTATTTACATAATGACCCCAAGGAGGTGAATATTCTTTAAGCAAAACATTCTTTTTAAAAGTGGAGAAATATCTTTGAACTGAGAGACTCAGGTAAGATAATATTAATGAGTTGGCATATATCTAAATCAGACTCTGGAAACTGCCTTCCAGAGAAAAGGAGCACACTGGATCCTCATTATTTAAGTAGAATCAGTAACTAATTCTCAGTAGGTTCTGCACTTGTTTCAAAAGTTTGGAGTTCAAAGCTTGATAAGGAGTTGTGACTTTTAATTATGATGATTTTAATTATAGACTGAAATAAGTATGCCTCTATACTGTAGTTGTGAACTTCAAAGTGTCACACAGTTTTCTATTTCTCAGACACATTTCATTTCTGCTGTTTCTCCAGAGGTGAACCCCCTTTTCCCCCGACAGAAAGTTATAAAAGAGAAAACTTCAAGGAAAATAGATTGATATCCAGAACTAGGGAAGTAAGAGCCTTGGTTGAATGAAACAACCAGGACTGCCAGACAGAATTGTCGAAGAGCTGAGCGAAAGTGGAAAAAGGACAAATTGCAAATATCTTTTCAATTACTGAGAGATTGTTGGCGTCATTACCAATCCACTGTGAAAGAGGCTAAAAGAAGATACTTTTCCGATATTGTTCTTTTAAACTGTGGTAAGCCTCGTGTGTTGTTTAAAGTTATCAACTCTGCTCTGAATGCACCACAGACTGTGTGTGAGAACTTTCTTCACTACTTTATTGATAAAGTCACGTCTACCAGAGCACTTATTTCACCTCCTGCTTCTGATCCTTCGGTGTTTGTCCCCTGCTCTGCTGTGTTTGACATCTTTGAGCCTGTGACCCTGCCTTTTGTGCAGGAGATTGTGGGTCACTTGAAGCCTTCAGGGTCTCCAGATGATACTGTCCCACCCCGATTTTTTAAGGAGGTTTTTCCCACTATCGGGCCATTGTGTCTCACAGTTATTAATAGCAGTCTGTACTCTGGAGTAGTCCCTTTAAATCTTAAACATGCAGTCGTGCAGCCTTTATTAAAAAAACCTGGGCTGGATCCTACTGTTCTGTCGAATTTTAGGCCTATCTCTAAGTTGCCTTTCTTCTCAAAAATCTTAGAGAAGATTGTTTATTCTCAGCTCATGGACTTTTTAAATGAACAAAATGTTCTTGAGATTTTCCAATCTGGTTTTAAAACATTGCACAGCACAGAATCAGCGCTTTTAAGAGTTTTTAATGACATTTTTTTAGCTACTGACTCTGGACACTGTGTTGTCCTTGTACTGTTAGATTTGACTGCAGCATTTGATACAGTGGACCATGAAATCCTGATTGCTCGTTTGGAGCAGTGGGTGGGCATCAGGGGCTTAGCACTGGAATGGTTCATGTCCTACCTGTCACATCGGACTTTCTGTATCAGCCTTGATGACTCTGTGTCCTCCACTGCTCC